AGGAAATCAATCTTCTCACAGTTTTCTTTAGGAAAGTCAACCTGACAGGGTTGAGTACAGCAGATGGGAGGAACAACAGAAGGAAGTGAGAGCACAGATGCCGTCGGTGGTGTTGCAGGGGCTGGTGGGATGGCTCAGCAGTTTAGAGCACTTGCTGCTCTCACAGAGGACCCAGGCTTTATGCTCAGCTTCCACATGGTGGTTCAGGACCATTGGTAACTTATTACTCCCCATCCAGGATATCTGATGCCTTCTCCTAGCCTCCGTAAGTATGAGGCATGCACTTGTCACTCATCTGTACATGCAGGTAAAACACTCAAACACATAAGGTAATTCTTTTAAATAGGTAAGTTTTTAAGAAAAGAGGTACTGCAATGACCTGGCTGAAATACATGAAAATGAAGTCAGACTCCGGTAATGGCACAAGGGGAATGGACTTGGAAAGAGTGTGTGTGTGCGTGTGGCAGGTACTGCAAAGGAACTAATTACACTGAATGAAGGGACAAGAACCAGTTCCAGGTCACTGAGAGGTCAAAGCTGAGTTTTGGAATAGTGTCGTTGGCATTAGCAGAAATGGCAGTCAGGAAGAGGATCCCAACTAAGGAGGAGCCAGAGAGGCTGAACTTGAGATCTTCTGACCAGGCACTAATAATTGTTGAAGATAATGGAGTATCATGTGCCTGAGAGTGGAGGTGGGGTTTGGCTGAGTGGCCTGGCCACAGCATGCCTACACAAATCTCCAGAGGACTCCATATCCATCACCGAGGGACTCTCCACAACCTGCTTGTTGTTGTCCTGTTCATAACAGCCAGACATCAGAACTAGCCTAGATGTCTACCAGCAAAAGAATGGATAATGAAAATATGACCTATATGAACAACAGAATTTACTCGGCTGTAAAGAAAAATGACATTATAAAATCTACAGAAAAATCGATGAATCTGGAAAATATTACATTACATGAGGTGAACCAGACTCAAAAAGACAAAAAAAAAGTTATACATTCTCTCTCATACACAGATCCAAACTTTCAGTGTTTGTGTGTATGAAATGAGGGATTATGAGGTTGGTTGTAGGCTGTGAAACCAGATCAGAGATCTCAAGATGGAAATAAAAAGTGTTGAGAGACACATGAGAGGAAAGCAAAAGTTCTCACATGACATGGGAGCAGGGAGGAGGGGAGGGAGCACACACAAGAAGGACAGGGATGAGGGAGAAAAGAGAGAAACAAAGAACAATAAAAATCAATTTTGTTTGAAAAAAGCAAGGTGTGGTGACGCACGCCTTTATTCCCAGCACTCGGAAGGCAGAGGCAGGTGGATCTCTGAGGATGAGGCCAGCCTGGTCTACAGTGTGAGTTATAGGACAGCCAGGGCTACATAGTGAAACCCTGTGTCAAATAAAAGAAAAAAAATCATAATGAAACTTAATTCTTTATATGCCAATTACAAGTGATAAAAGATAAATTTACTCAGACATATCTAGCCCGCTGTTTTTCTCCCCAATAGACATCTTGTGTCTGCTCTGGGGGACTTCACACTGGTAGGCTTGCCACAAATCTTCTTAAGTCACCTTTTGGATTTGTTGGTTTTATTTGTTTTTGTTGTTGCTTGTTTGTTTGTTTGTTTTCTCACCATACTCTATTAGAGTTTGTTTAGCTAAACTTATTGTTGTGTTTTGTCTTTTGAGACAGGGTCTCTCTACCTAGCCCTAGCTGTTCTGGAACTCACTGTGTAGACCAGGCTGGCCTTGGGGATCAAAAGGATAGACCACCACAGCCAGGCACTAAACTTTTATTTTAATACCTGTTTTTTTTTTTTTTCAGAAACATTTCATCCTGATAGTTTCCATTTGGTGCTATCTCAAAACTGTAGTTTAAACTGGTACTTGTCAGTTAAAATAGAACAAAAAGATAATGCAAACAAGCTTTTAAAATAAAAGGATGAACAGCAAGGTCATTAGCAGAGATTCAGTTGAATCAAAATAGGGAACAAGAGGTATCAAAATAAAATCACAATGTAGGAATTAGCCTCAAGAAGAGAGGGTAAAAATCTTCAGAGAGCTGAGTTGAAGAAGTTCATAAAGGAGCAGACAACTATGCTCAGGATCTCGGAGGAAGCAAGTTCACAGGCAAGAGTCAGGAACCCAAACAGAACAGAGTTCAGGGCAGAAGGAAGGCCAGTGCAGGTTCTTTGCAGAAATTAAAGGTGAAGGGAGGAAGGATTCCCTTAGGACAAAGTGCTTGCTGGTAGAAGACAATCAAATGGTGGAAGACACCATCAGAGACAGTGAAGATGGTGATACCATCAGAGACAGTGAAGATGGTGACACCTGGAAAGGAGATGAAGAGACTTTGATGCTGTGTCCTGGGAAGAAGCAGAGGATGTGAGCAGACAGGCAGGCTGAGGAAATGATACTATAGATACAGAGAGGGACATGAAGTGGAAACATAAGGGTTCTTTGGAAAGTCAGTTGTGTCAGATGGTGTTTTGCTGGGGCAGACACGTGAAGGAGTGTTTACCTGAAGTGGACACAGGTGAAAGGATGTTCTGCTAAAGCAAGCATGTGAAAAGACACATGATGAAGAATTCTTCACTAGCGACACACATGTATTGGTCTGCCTTACATTGTGTAGTTGAGCTGCATTTGTTGGGACTCCATGTAGAGAAATGCACCAAAAATCTTCTGGTGGTGTGCTGGCAGCTCAGGCAGATCGGCAGAGTGATGTCAGCTGAGACAGACTTACATGCTGAGACAAGACACATGGTGAGGCCAGACCCGGGAAAACATGTGGTGATTGGGAGGAGTATAGATAGGACTCAACAGACAGTGCCAGAGGCGGAGGCTGAGCTTGCTTACATAGCTCGCTGGTCTCGAGGCTTCGCTGACGAGGCTTCATTGAGAGAGGCACAGCTGAGAACTTTTCCTGGTGTTCCTGGTAATCCTGCTCTATCCTGCTGACTTGTGCTGATTCTGCTGAGGCCTGGCTGATCCTGCTAGGTCATGCCATCACTGATGCTATAGCAAACTGGATTGCTGGTATATCCATGAAGTGTTTGCAAGTAGATCAAGCTGCCGCTACTGACCTGTAAACTGAATTACTGATTTCCTGACAACACAGATGAGATTTGCTCCAAAGAACCTTTCTAAATAGGTCCACTCCCCCCATATCCTTTCTTTTCCACTACCTCTGGTGGCTGGTGGGCTAGAAGGGAGGTTAAAGCATTTAAAACTCACCATTAAAAGTAGGCTTTGAAAATTTAAAGCTACAGAGACAGGCAGAGAATGCAGCCGAGACTCAGAGACTTGGAACAGAAAAGAAACACGGAGAGCTGAATAGCTGCCACAGTAAATGTAACAAATCAACCATGTGCTGGGTTCTTTTAATCTGGACTAAGCAGAGATTGGTTGTGAGTTCCCAACAGAGCCCACTCCTGACTCTACACATGCAAGTCTGTTCCTGATTCTGGGAAGGCTTACTGAATCCCTAGAACTGAAAGGGGTTAAATGCTATCAGCATTTTCCAGACAGCACCAAGTGGGTTTCCAAATCAGGATTCTATTCTCTTGGCTGCTATTATGCACAGCAGTTATTGGGGCAGCACTTCTTCAAATGGTTTCCAGAAGCTTCTGTGATTTGATGACACTCCAACACCATGAAAGCGCAAGCCAGCGATGACTCACAGCGAACCGTTGTTGGTGGTGGTGAGTGCTTGCTGAGGGCGTGGATGCTCAAAGCCTGGGACCAGATGCCAGGCTGTTCTGAGAGAGACACAACAGGGACAGGGTCTGGTTTCTGCCATGCCCTCTGGTTCCACCTCCTGTCCTTAGCTTCCTGCTTCCCTGGATGCCTAAAGCCTTCACAGTGACTCGTTCTGGGTCACAGCTGAGCCAGACATACACAATTGCTTTTCATCTCAGGATCTGTCTAGAAAAAAAATGAGAATTATAAAAGCACTTCAGGATTAAGCCTGGCCCTTACTCCCCAATCTCTCCTACTTTCTGAGACCTGACCTCAAGAATCAGAAAAACATCACGATAAGCACTAAAGAACCTTTCTTTCCTTCCTGTTCTCTACCGCATCCTTCATCTTATCCAGAATTTTCAAGCACTGACTGGATCCTTGGTCCATAGACCTTCACGTGCGCCTGGACAAAGGCAGATTCCTAGAACTCACTATTTATGAATGCCACCTTTTATATGTAGTTTGTTAATCCTTTGAGAATTTCATACTACATTGGATATGTTTTTATTATACCCACCCCTACTCCTCCCACTGACACCTCTAAGATCCACCTCTACTCCTCCCACTGACTCCTCTGAGATCCTCCCCTATTCCTCCCACCCCTCTACAACACAGTGTTCTTTTGTTTGATGACCTACTAAGTCCAGCTTGTGTTCCCTATATATTCACGGGTGTAGGACCATTCACCAAAGTATGGTAGACCTACTGGGGACCACACCTTTAACAAAAACTGACTCTTACTCCCCAACAAGCCAACAGCTGTCCATACCTCCTTAGCTGTGGAGCCCATCTCTGCAGTTCTGTAATATTAACTGGCTTGATCCTATGCAGATCTTGTGTAAGCAACCACGACTACTGAATTAGTGACTCTTGTAATGTCTGAAGAGCAGTGTTTTACTCTAGTGCACCCCAACATCTGACTCTTACACTCTGTCTTCTTTCACAGTAGTCCCTGAGTCTCAGGGAGTATATCGCCCCCATTTTTAATCCAAATTTAGACAGATGCATTCCCTATTACAAACCCTACTCTGCCACTGTGTCTAACGGTCAGCTACCGCATTTTCTCTGTCTGTGTCTCACCTGTCTCCTGCTCCTCGGGCTTTCTGTCTCCTCCTGGTCTTTTCATTCCTGCCCCTGCCAACCCCTTCATTTCCGTTGCTCCCACGTGACTTGCCTCACCAGCCATCACCCTGTTCCCTTTCCTTCAGCAGCCTCTCCCTTCCCACTATTGACTTCTCTCTTCTTGCCCTCCTCAGCCCATTAGCTATGATGTCTTCAAGCTGTTCATGAGGGCATACCTGGAGGTGGACCTTCCTCAGCCACTGAGCACACACCTCTTCCTGGCCTTCAGCCAGAAGCCCAGACAAGAGACACCTGACCACCCAAAGGAGGGGGCCAGCAGTAGTGAGCCCAATGTCTCAGGTACAAGGTCCAGCTTTCCCCAAGATGGTTGAACAGCTGTAACCCTTGGCAATGGGCACAGGCAGCACACTAAAGGGCCACCTGAGTAACTTCCTTAAGGAAGAAGCAGAAGGGAGGCTAAGGGGTAAGGACTCCTCTCCTTCTAGATTCTCACTGGAACTTGTGTCTGGTGAGCCCTTCAGCAAGAGGAATAAAGAGGGGGCAATTCTGTCACGAGGGTCAGAGAATAGAATGGGGCAAGAGGGGCCACATGCTAACATGTGGCAGAAAAATAAGAGCCTTTCAAGAAGGCGTCAGTCCATGGTTAGAGCACTTTTGGCACACATCCCAGCTAGACTAATCAGGGACTGTCAGAGGAGAAAATGTCATGGCCAGGGTCTTCCTGGAGTTTCAGAGACCATGAGCCAATCTGACAATAATCCTGGGTTACAAATGCAACCTACACAGACCAGAGCCCACGGGAAGGTTTCCTACCGCCCCTCTAAGAGTCTGGGGGACACGGACTGGCCTTTACTCTTCTTTTTGTTCCCTAGATTATAATGCGGACAATGCTGCCAAAGCAGATGAGGCCTGTGCTCCAGACACAGGTAAGACACTGGGATGTGAAATTTCGGGGAGGAGTAACTACATGCCCAGCTTCTGTTTATCCATATAATTGAGAGAGTCTGGCTCTGTAAAGGTTCTTATCTCCCTTGGCCTGGAACAGAATAGATCAAGACTGGGAACAGGTTGCCAGATGTTTACTCCCGACAACTTGCTTGCTAGAGGGCGGGGAGCCTTCTCCAGAGGCCTGGGCATGGGAGTGTGTTTGCCAAGATCTGGCTCTCAGGCATAAGCAGGCATGATTCTGTATTTTACCAGTGGATGGCTGGAGAGAGTAGGGCAGGTGTGTAAGAGTATGTCCTGACTGAACAACAAAAAATGGAAATGGGGGACTGGCGGTTATGTTCCAGCAGTTAAGAGCACTGGCTGCTCCTGCTACGGACCCTTGTTAGAATCCTAGCACCTAGAATGGCAGCTCACAATGGTCTAGGACTTTCTGGTTCCCTTTTCTTGCCCATATAAGCAGGTACCAGGCATACATGCAGGGGGAAAAAACACATAAGATTAAGTTTAATTTCAGTTTAAGAAAAAGAAATGTGAACATCAGTTTTTAACAAGTTAGAGGGTTTCTAATCATTGCCAAAGGGAGCCAGCAAACGTTGGTTTTGAGGAGCTGTTTGCTAGGTACCTGCTTATTTCCTTTTCCTCTGACCTTCACATTTATGATGCTTCACACACAGAGCAAAAGAGACTTGTGGGCTGAGGACACAGTCCAGACTTGTGCAACCTCAAATCCCTGATCTTTGACCTGCACACAGTGAGGGAGCGAGGAGCAAACCAGGTAGTTTGCACCATGCAAAGGTGCCACGTCAGCTTGCGGTGCACCTGCTGTAGTACCTATGGTTCACTGACCCAACTCTGATGCAGCAGGTCTGCAATCTTCCCTGACACACGTATAAATGAGAAGCTACTTCCCGGGGCTCTGGACAGAGCTGGGTATCGGAAAAAGCAGTGCTCACTATTCTTGACATTTGCTCTCATGTCCCGTAAAGATGCCCTGTTTGATCCCCACCTAAACCGGATCAGGCAATAGAACATATCGGTTAAGATTCTGGCCCTCATTCCCAGCTCTGTCACTACCTACAGCAGAAAGCTGTGGGCGTGTTTGGGCAATGCCTGTGTTTTGCTGTTCCCTCTGGAGAACAGGATGATAATAAGCATTGTTATGCCAGTTGAATGAGTTAGCAGGCATCTAAAGGCTTGGAACAGTGCCTGGCCCCATAGTAAATGCTCAATAATATTAACAATAATATTAACAATTGGAGCAGTGGTTCTCAACCTTCCTAATGCTGCCACCCCTTAATACAGTTCTTCGTGTTGTGGTCACACACACACACGCTATAATTTTTATTGCTACTTCATAACTGTAATTTTGCTACAGTTATGAATTGTAATATAAATATTGTGTTCTCCGATGGTCTTAGGAGATCCCAGTGAACTGGTCGCTCGATCCCCAAAGGGGTCACGACCCACATGCTGAGAATCTGTTCTTCGCCCAGACTCTCCGTGAGTCTGAAGCCTCAGTCTCCTGCTAGAGCAGCTTGGTGTCCTGTTCTAATGGACTTGTGGACTCTGCACTTTGCTCTTGAGGTTTCAAATATAAAGACTCAGAGTCAGATCTTGTTTACTCCATGAGAGCTGGTTGTTGAAACAATTTATACACACACAAGCAAATCCCAGCTCTTGGGATGAACGCTGAGGATAGAGAATGTGGTTCCATTACATTTGTCAATTATGCATCAGACAAAGTGGATAAGAGTCTCTACAGCTGAATGAGAACAGGAACAATTTCAGCAGAGACTAGGCTGGGAGCCTCTTCAGTGGACACGAGCTACAACCCCGATTGCTCTCTTTTCTGGTCCCAAGAGGGAAACAAGAAGCCTTATAAAGCTTTCAGTGTTTGGCAGAAGGACTGGTAAATAAGTTAGTTTGGGTTTGTTGTTGTTGTTTTTAAATTCACTGTGGAGTCAGATGCTGTGGTCCTAACTTTCCAGGAGGCAGAGATGAGAGGATCATGTGAGTTCAAGGCCAGCCTAGGCAACATGAAGGCTCCACCTGAAGAGGGAGGGAATACAGAGATGGCTCCTGCCGTTAAGAGCACCTGCTGCTCTTCCAGAGGAACTACGGTCACTTCTACCACCACATCAGGTGGCTGTACCCAGGCTCCAGGGGATCAGAGGCAGGAATGGGCATACACGCTCACGAGCACATATTCAAGTACAGACATGCACACTATACATAATTAAAAATAATCAAAGTAAATTTTTTAAGAGGCAGGGGAGAGGGAGAAGAACTGGAAAGAGACAACAGGAGAGCATGGGAGACTGGGGCGAGGGAAAAGAGAAAAGTAACATTACACATGGGAATCAGAGCCTTCAGAAATGGAAGGCTGTCAAGGCAGCCTATGGAGCTCAGAATCCAGACCTTCCAGATGCTGTTGGTGGCAGCTGTAGGGCAAGACTCTTCAAAGTCGTGGGATCACTCCCTCCTGCCAGCTCTGCATCAGCTCAGCTAGTCCAAGGTAGATATCACTCTGCTGGTGGATAATAAATGTAAGGCATAGGTAAGTCTTAACATCTCATAGGGCGTATAACAGAACAAATTCTAACAGGAAAAATCCTCCCAGCAGGAAGGAGAGGGCAAGGCTTTGAGATTTTTAAATGCCCAGCAAGGAAGCATGCAGCCCCAATTTCTTACCCAGGTATTTGGAACTTCCAGAGGAATGTTCGAGTTGCAGTCCATGCCTTAAGGCCGAAAATAATGTGGATGGAGTTTGTTTTAGTGGCTGAAGAGTGAGTGAGCATCAAGGAAGAACTTTACAGAGGGGAGGTCACGTGACAGTACTGAGGGTCACGTGACAGTACTGGAGCTGGATGGTCATGGCTCTCCCCATTCACAACAGCTCTGTCATTATGCATCTCAGAGAAACGCCCATAGACTTCCTCCTGGAGAACTGATTTGTCATTCACCACTTTGCCTGCTTATGGTGAAGAAAAACACCAGACCCTGCAGGTTAAATCATGAAAGGCAATTATCTAATTTTGGGCCCAGGGAGATATTTAAACTTTTTCTTTTTCATTTTTTTTTTAAACTGGAGATTTAAAGAAGAATAATCCGTTTTCTGATAGGTCTCCATTAACAGATGGCTTAATTAATGCCCCTGTTTACCAAAAAATAAGAATTAGGACCAGCTAGATGCTTCATAGAAAGTCCCTTCCTACAAGAGCCAAGTCTGGCCAACTGTGGGAAATCCCAGCCTTTTCCTATTGTTCAAGTAGAAGCCTGAAGACACTAGGTTCTGATTGCTATGGCCTCCACCAACTATGCCTTCTGGACTCAGCTGTACACAGCCCATTGACATGGCCTCCACCAATCACAGCACTGTCTACAGCCCATTGACGTGGCCTCCACCAATCACAGCACTTTCTACAGCCCATTGACATGGCCTCCACCAATCACAGCACTGTCTACAGCTACAGGTAGCACAGCCCACCTGAGCTGAGCTCCCTCTCCCCAGAATAGGGCAGAAAAAAGACTCTGTCACACAATGCAAGTATTGACTCAAAGCCCCCCAGAGTCACCGCCATTATGTCAGCTCAGGATATGAAAAGGAAGAATTTTGGCCCTTGGGGTTTTATTTCATTTCTTAATTCGTTGAGATTTTCCACCAATGCACAATATTGAATATTTGAAAGAAATACCTTGGTTTTTTGTTTTGTTTTGCTTGCTTTCCCAGTTATAAAAGTACTATACTCACACTGTAGATAATTTGAAGATTAACTTTCAAATCCCCCCAAAAGAGAGAAACAATAAACTATAAAGATAACAAAGATTGGTGGTTGCCTGAGTCAGGGATGAAGAGATGAATAGCTGAGCACAGAGCAACTGAGGGGTGGTAAGATCCCCCTGCACAGAGCAACTGAGGGGTGCTGAGATCCCCCTGTACAGAGCAACTGAGGGGTGGTGAGATCCCCCTGCACAGAGCAACTGAGGGGTGGTGAGATCCC